AAAATTTTTTATTTATTAGCAATTCACATGAAAAGAAAGGAATGAAAGTTGGAAAACTTTTCAACGAAAAGCATCAAAAATTTATCGCTCGCAATGCTCGAAATTGTCCAGTCAATATTTTAAGCATAAGAAGCGCATTATACGCATTATATCGGTTAGTTACGGCCAGCGGAGAGTACGGACTGTAAATCTGTGGACACACAACTAGCACGAGTTGCGTATAAATCACGTATACGCAATGTTTTCCAATTGGTGAATACTATAAATTACAGCGTCGACACAATAAACAACACAGACAAAAGGAGAGAGAATGTGGGAGAAGGGGAAGGGAGAGGGAGGACGTTCTAAGTCTGAAAATAAACCGCAAATGCGAGAGAAGAGTGAGAGGACGGAGAAAGAAGGAGAGGGAGAGCACTCAGCAATGCTGCATTTAATTAGAAACGACTTTAAAGTAGTTCTGAGAATAATGATACTTAAATAAACTTGACAGAGTTTCTAGTCGAAGTTTTCGCATATTTTACATATAGTTTAAGTTTAGTTCTTGATGCATTGTTTACCGTTTGTAATGCTCAGATTATAATCTGGCAAACAAAATCATAAATAAACAAAAGTATTATAAAAAAAAAAAAAAAAAAAAAAAGACTCAACTGAAGTGCAACAGCGCAAAAATCAAAACATCAAAACTCAGCAGAGCCCCAACAAGATGAGCATGAGACAGAAGAAGAAGTAGAAGAACAAGAAGAGGAAGAAGAAGAAGGAGAGGAAAAACAACAACAACAATAATTGAAAAGAAGCAGCACAAGAGTAGCTTTTGAGCAACAACTTTATCCAATTTCTCGCTGCGCTCATGCTTTGTCCCTAGGGCATGTTCACTGTGTGAAGAATGATGTAACGGTCGAAGGTCGAAGATATTTTTAGCATGAACCAGATATACGTTAGGCGTGTCTTATAAAAATAAATTTAATTATCATTTGACAAAAATGGAGCAGAGAATGTGTACAAAATATATGTTAAGATAAATTGATTAGATATATGTGTCGTATAATCATAAGAGTTTTAGAAAGTATTATGATATAATGTGATAGAATTCTTTAACGATTATATTAATATTTTTATTTATTTATTTATTTTTTTTTTTTTTTTTGTCAATTACATTATCTTCAGCAGAAACTAATTATGTAGCCTAATATGATATTGATAAAATCGTTATACATATATATTTATCTTGTCAAAATAAATCTGCAAAATGGCGGATTTTGATCAGATAAATTTCTATAAAACATAAAGCCCAGGTGTGATTACTGTATCAAAAACAACTTATAAGTTATGTGTAGATAGATCTATGTTCATGAACTAAAAGTTAGAGTAATTCAACTTCATTATGTATGTTCCTTTTGTTTCTCGTTCTACTTTCCTTTTGGTTCTGCTCAACGCTGAGGCATACATACAGCGCCTAAGCACGTACAAATCGCATTTCTTAGGCGCTAGTCTTATCCTTTTTTATGGCTGTGCGGGTGTATGCGTGTATGCGTGTATGTGTGGGTGTGACTGAAAGTATGCTACGGCAAAAGGCAACGCTTGTTTGGCTGTCAGATTTACTTGTCTACTCTCGCATTGCCGTTCCCTCGCGCTCCCTCCTTGGTGCTATGCATCTCTCTCTATCTCTCTCTCTCTGTCAGCCACCCACTCTCGCTCACTCCTTTATGCTCCAAGTTTGTGTGTGTGTGTGTGCTATAAATTGACAGCTAAATCTGCAAAAACATGATAAGACTAGCGACATGCCAATGCGGCCAAGGACTCCCTTCGAAACCCTGCCCCAATGTGTGTGCTATCTGTGTTTATATCTGTATCTCATCTATTTGGGCCAAGCCTCTATATCTATCTACTTAACCCAACAACAATATAAGCAACAACAACAACGACAACAGCGACAGCAACAAATACAACCAAATATTTTGGGCTGCGAAATTGCTTTTCGATTTATTTTTATATGTCTGCCAAGTTGCGAGCATTGTGACAAATTAGTCTTAACTTTTTTTTCTCTTCCTGCTTTGTTATTGTTTGTTGTTGTTGTTGTTGTTCTGTTTTTGCCAACTTGGCAAATTTTTATAAGATTTTTATCAGTCCCCAATGCTATAGAGCAAACAGTTAGATTCTCAGTTAAGCGTGGCCAATAAATTCAACTGATTAAACTCTTGATTATACCCTTATATATGATTATATACGAGAAACTGGTAAAAAATTAAATTTATTTTATTTATTGCTTTGTTATTCGTGAAAATATGAAATACAAAAAAAACAATCATTTGCAATCTTGTGTCAACATGATTACTAAATATTTGACTAAATTCAATATCAATTACGAATAGACCTTAGAAAGAAAATCGTAACTCAAAAACATCTATAACGCTTTTAAATATTTAAACAACAACAAACATATTAATATTAAATAAAATGTATTTAATGCATGAGATACTTAATTTAATTAATGTATTTAAAATATATAATATTGGAAAAGTAAGGAGTATATTAAATTGTAATTTAGAGTCGGAATCAATTCTGAAGGACAAGAAATGGAAAACAAAAATTAAAATAGAAAATGTTATTGCTAAAATAAATAAAATACTAAGTAAATACACTGCGCGTCATCAGGTTAGCGCCCCCCTTTACAGTCAACCTCAAAGCTAAATAAAATCTAAACCATCAGAGCTCCATCTTTGAAATTTTTTTATATTATACTCCATTTATTTCTCTTTAAAATACAAAAAGAATGGCTACTGTAACAATAAGGATTATTTTTTAATAATTTTTTTTGTAAAATGTACAAAAAATATGTAACAAAAATTTGGTCATCAGATTAGCGCCCCCTGCATTAAATTCAATTTATTTAAGCCAATTACCAAAAATAACACCTGTATTTTAAGCTATTGTTATTTTTAAGTAATATTAGTAGTGCGTAGTGCCGTTTTTTGTTTGAAATTACTTAAAAAATTCGATTAGAAATGGAATTATAAAGTTGTTCAATATTATTCAAGGATATGGTTGACTAAGCGTGTTCAGTACCTTCGATTAACTCTGTCTTTGTACTATAATGCTTTCCGGACTCATATACTTTCCTGACCAACCATCCCCAGACGTTTCCAATGATATTAAGGTCGAGTGAGTATGGTGGCCACTCCATGAGATCAATTTTTGGCCCTGAATCCAGGACTTCAGGAATCGGGCGGTCTGAATTGGGGCATTATCAAGCTGGAAAATCTAATGCCGGTTTTCAGACAGGTTATAGAAATGCGGAACAGCAGTTTTAAACACGATATTATGGTCCTATGCGTTCATGCGCGATGTCAAAAATTGAAGCTTACAAGCGCTGTAGTAAGATATTGCACCCTACATCAATGCCACACCACCCCCCCGCCGCAACGGCTTGGAAACCGTTCCAAATAATGTTCTTCTATGCGTAGGTCATGGATATAATAATTATAGCCATCAGTTCCTTCCAAATTCAATTTTTCTCATCAGAAAAGCCAACATGCTGCCATTGGATAGGCCACGTCATGTTCGCCCGGCCAAAATTAATGCGTATTTCTTTTCTCAGCATATCGACTGGTGACTTTTTTTTTACATTCTGTTTCTTTAAGTAATTAACTTTCTTAATTGCTCTTTAGACCGTTGATAAGCTCGTCTTAACACTGATTTTAACTCTAATCTTGGTGGTCGATTCGTGGGAATTCGAAGCTTCTCGAACTAATGCTCTTCTATTTCCTTCTGAAATCACTTGATTATTGCCGCTTATATAGTTTTTTCCATAGTTTTCCCTATTTGTAAGAAAATTGCTACTTAGTTTTGTGTTTTTTCCTGATTTTTCAGCAATTTTATGGTTGCATAGTCTAGATTCAAAGTATGCCTCAATCTTTGATTTTTAACCAAAGATAAAACTGTTTCTTTACCCATACTATAAATATATTGAATACTTTGAGCTTCACAAAAAATTTGGTGAGTGTAATTGCCAAAATAAGCAAGATAATTACAATTGCATTTGGGGGCGCTAATCTGATGACGCAAAATAAGTGCACACATTTTTTGCGAAAATAGAGAAGGATAGAAAATAAAACATAACGGGTTTTCACTCGCGCATTTTTTTGGTATGAGAGACATCTCATATGATGATAATGAAATAAAAAAAAAACCAAGAAGTTACGTGCAATAGGCAAAGAGAAAAACGTAAAAGAAAATGAGTGTAAGGGGGGGCGCTAACCTGATGACGCGAAGTGTAGTATTGATCTAAGGTATTCAAGTCTTTTTATATGTACTTTTATTTTAGGAAATATATCATTTTTCTGAAAATAATATGCATTTTTTTTATTTTGTGTATAAAATATAAAATATGAAATATAAGCTATAAATCATAAAATACAAATATAATATATAATTAAAATACATTTTAAAATATAAAATACATACAAAATTAATAATAATTTAATCAAAACATTTTAATTTTAATACGAATTTAGCTAAAAATAAAATTCTTTTTTTAAGTTATTTTCATAGTGGAAATACTACACTACATAGAAGAATACTATACATATTCCTTTCAGACAGATAATATTCACATTTTATTTTGATTCACACATTATCTGCATTATCTCATAAAATGCACGTCCAAAATATATATTATTCATTTTAATTGTTCAATAATATTTCCCTAAATTGGTAAAAGCCTCCTGTAAACCTAATTAAAATTTTGTGGTAAATTTTCCACCGATGTCCCACCAATATACCCGTTTTACACATTTTAAATTACTCGAGAGCTAAAAATGAATCGATACAAAACTATTCCAGCTGAAGAACCAAACGAAACTTCATAATGATTAAATTTCCACATGTTTTTTCAGGTGTGTCTATGTTTTATCTTCTATGACGAGGACAAGGGAAACTTTTTAGCAAAGCAAAAATTGCGCTCAACGAGGAGAAATGAAAACATAAACTCTGGCCGCTCTTACCTAGGGTCTTGGTCCACTGGGCAGTGGGCCGCCAGTCCGGATAGTGCTTGGGGAAGAGTTCGCGCGTCCAATAGGTGTGCAGGACGACCTTATAGACGGCCAGGCGGTCCAGAGTGCAGCCCGTTAGGGGGGCTGGCTGCGTGGCTGCGGCCGGGGCTGCGCTGACGGCTGGCGTATTCTGCGTGGGCGTGGCATTGGAATCCGTGTAGTAGTAATTGCGGTAATTGCCATTTACATTTGCATTCGAATTGCCAGTGTCGAAGTTTATGAAGTTTTGACTGTCGAGATTTTGTCTTTGTTGTTGCTGTTGTTGTTGTTGTTGTTGCTGCTGCTGATTGGAAACGGTATAGGCGTATATAGCCGGATTTGATATGAAGGATGCACCGTAGCTGTTGCCGGACTGTGCTTCGGATGCAGCAGCGACGGCAAACGCAAGCAGCGAGCAGAGCATCGCTGCCAGCAGCTGTTCGAATTTGAATTTCGCTTTCATTTCGCTTAATTTCGAATCTCTTGTGTTTCTGCTGTTTTTGTCAACTGCAGCCGCCTGGTTTATTTATAGATTTTGGATTATTTTCTGCTTTCTATATCTTTCTCAACTTTGTTGTACACTTTTACATTGGCCGCTGCTTATAAATAAATGCACGCACACACGCACCGACACAGTCACTCACACATACACACACACATGCAGGCGCGCACATGTGTAACGCGCGCGTGCTTATTTTTGGGTTCCTTTTTCCCTGTTGAAATTCACGTGGCAGCGACGACGCGTGCGATTCCTATTGGCTACGACGAGAGCATCGACAACCGTTTGCTTGCAAAGTTCGTTGCGTACTGAATGCTGAGCGCATGTTGCGGCAGTCGCGGCGACAGCCAAATATCACCCAGCGACAGCATAACGGCAGTTATGCAGCGAACAGCAAGCAGCGAGCAGTGAGCAAGACAGCCCGGCAGAGAGAGAGAGAGAGAGAGAGAGAGCAAGCGAGCGAGTGAGTGGAGCGAGTGGCCGCCGGTTGGTACTTTTACGCTCTGTGTTGGGGAAATTTCTTTTCGTGTTGTGTGCGAGCAGAAAAACGAAAAAGCAGCCTGTTGAGCTTTGGCTACAGCAATGTGCGTATCGCTCATGTTGTTGCTGTTGTTTCTGTTGTTGCTGCTGCTGTTGTTGACCTCAAGGCTTTGGGCACATTATTGCACATTTCCTTTTCGGCATTTGAATGGGCAGCGTTAATGAAGCGCTACTTGTCATGCAATTAACGGTAACTGCCAAAGCGCCGACTGGTATGCAATGCCAACTGTACTTAGCGGCACCAACCACTCACAGAGCGAGCGAGAAAGCAACAACAACAACAGTTGTCAACAATGAGCGCAATTTTCGATTAAAATCAATTGAAGCACTTTAATTGCTACAATTCAATTAAACAACGCGCTAATGGACAATGCACAACTAAGTAGCAACAACAGCAACAACATAAACAATTTTTTTTTTTTTTTTTTTTTGAATTTTGGTTTATTAAGTGTAGAAACTGTACAATCACATATAGTACTTTAACAACACATATATATACATAAAATTAGAGCCAAACCTCACTCAATTTGTGAGGACTGAGAAAAAAAAAGAAAAATAATAATAATAATATTTATTGAATACCCATTGTTTTGGCAAAGCCCTGCCGAACATAAACAATGACATCGATTTGAAGCGTGGGCCTTCACGCACACAAGCACACACACACATAGTTGGGAATGAAGGGAAATTCTGGTTAGTTGTGCGTCGAAATTACTTTTCAATTCTTTGCGCATTGTTTGTGGCAGCTTAAGTGGAGCTTGTCAAGCCGAAAGTTTTAGTCCAGACGCAAACACAAAAAAAAAAAAAAAAAAAAAAAAAACACTTACCTGGATCTAAAACACTGAAAAAAATAATGTAGTTTAAGCGAGGCATAGGAATAACGTAAGGTAGTAAAAATCTACGGTAATTCATTGGCCAACAGGTTTATTTGAAGTATTCAATACTTTTATATTTTTGGGACGATAGGATTAATTGTAGATATAAATTAAAATAATAATTTGAAGCACAAAACTGCATCCTTTTCAAATTTTGTAAATTTCAATTTATTTATCTCAATTTTTTTTCTGTTTCCTTTTCACTCTGAAAATGGCAGTACTGAAAAATACATGCAAGAATTTTAAAAGAAAAATCAATTTCTTTTTGGTTTAAATTTGACAAATATTTAAAGCTAATAAACTTCAGCAAATATGTCTATTAAATATATACTTTTTATAATTAGATATTTTATATTTATATTTTTTTATTTTATATTACAATTGTTTACATTTCTATTATTTATTTAATAGTAAAATTTAATTAGTTAATTATTATCAATAATATTACTATTTTGTTTTTACAAGTAAAGGTAATTCCAGTTATGTTCAGTGTATTTTCCACCCAATCTCTATAAACGCTGCACACATAATTGCTATTGACACACACCAACACACACTTAAATACCAAACACTCACACACACACACACACACTCGCGCGTGCACACCTACGCTCAACACAATTATACTATCCGAAAATGGCTGTTTTGGGGTCCTCGAACAATTATGTGTTGCACTTAAACGATTTGTACGTGATGTAGATTGTGTCGTCAACTCCCACATGAATACAACAACCGAACAGCCACCCATTTGCTTCATTACCCCCCACCCCCGCACTCACCTACCCTCTCTCTCTCACTCTCTCTTACACCATACACTGTAATCCTCTGCACGCTCGCGTGCTTCTCTATGTAAATTGTGCGTGCGTGAAATTTATTGCAGTTAATAATAATTGTCCATTTACAATTCGTATTGTCCGGGCAGTCGTGGCCACGCCCCCGACGACCACAGCGCCCACTTGTGGTCAATTATAAAGGACAATTTGCTTTTTGTCTTAGACAGGTTGGTAGTGCCCATGCGAGAGTAGCTAACGGTCGAAGGGGGAGCGGGAGTGTGGCAGTTGCCCCTTTGGGAGCCTTTATTGCGCCTTAAATGCCGTCCATTAATTGGAAGCTTTACTGTTTTATGAGCCACAGTTAAATTTATGCTTATGATGTGCTAATGTTTCTAATGTTCATTTTGTGCTTTGTTTGCTTAATGGCCAAGTAAAAACATTGCTAAACCAAAAGAAAAGCCTAAATTGTGATTAATTTGGGTAATATGTGGGATGATTTAGACCTTGAAATCGCTAATACTGAAGCAGTCTAATAGAAAAGAGCATCTAGTAGGATATACATATCCATACATACATACATATCCATATCCAACACATTCAAATTGAACAATACGATTCCTTAATAATAACTAACAGGTTTCCATGTGATCATTAAACCTACATTTCAGCTGTTAACACTAATGTGTGCCACCACTGTGAGCTGCTGTAGCAGCCAATATATAGGGAAATTGCGCTCAGCAATTACGCTCTGCAGAGCCATTGCACAGGCGCACTGTGCACTCGCTCTCGCTTACTCTCTCCCTTTATTCGTCTCTCCCACACCTGTACACACACACTCACGCACACAGTTGCACGCGGCATTGCGTTTCATTGAGTAAAACTGAAATCGGAAACTAAAAAAAAAAAAACAAAAATTCATTCCTGCATATTACACGTAAATGTGCTGTACGGATAAGTTGAGTTAAAAACACACACACACACACGTACACGCGATATATGCATGCAAGCAGCGCCAATGAGCTTTGGCTCTGGCTTTGATTTCCGCTTTCATCTATTTGACTTGCATTCACCTACACCAACACACACACTCATACACACGCTCGCAAACAGCTGCAAAATTCCTAATAAAGTTGGCATTTGCCAAACAGAGACACAGACGTGCAGACAAACAACAACAGAGCAACAGCATAACCCAAGGGCCGCTGCCCCCGCCCTTTCTTTCCCTTCCCATTACCTTGCGCGCATCACACACCTGTACCATTATTGTTGTTGCTTTTATTGAATGTTGAGCAAAAAGCAGCCAAATGCAACAACAGAGGCAGCAGCCGTGGCAGGGGCAGCCACATCAGCAGCAATGCAGAATCGTAGCATACGTGTGCATTCCCCACCTGGGACACCTTACATTTGCATAAAATAAAAACTTGTGCGGGTGCTGCTGGGTATTTTTTTTTTTTTTTTTTTTTTTTTTTTTGTGTTCTGTTCTTGCTTCTTTTATTGCAGCGCATTTTTTAGTTGATTTGCGTTGTTTTATTGCGCTTTATCCAATTTTTGCTGTTGCTGTTGCTATTGTTGTTCGTGGCAAAGCAAATAAATAAATCCACTCAAAATAAATGCAACCACAGCAATAGCAACAACAACAACGAGAACCGTAAGCATGGCTGCAACTGTTATTTTGTGTGACGTCACATTACTTCTTGTTTTCATAGACTTCGACTTTGGCTCCGTTACGTTTTACAGTTATTTATGCGAGGCAACCAAAAGCTTTACAGTGGCAGCAGCAACAACAAAAAACTCTGAATGCTTATCGTGTGTGTGCGCGAGCGAGAGGCCCTGCTATTGGTGCTTTGTGGTTGGCCATTTCGGAACATTCGATTGCGACGCGTCTGCCATTTGAGTGTGCTGTAAATTTGACAGCTTTTCGATATGAAGGCGGGGATATTCGCTTCAATTTATTTTGGATTTGGATTTTCCATTTAGTTATAATATTGATAAAGATAAAGTAAGCTCTTTTCATGTTGTCTTCTGATTGTTTAATTTAAATGCGTTTATTTAATAGCAAACAAATTGGCTTATTTCATAAAACACACCCACAAACACACACAAATATTATAGTCGGCCTATTTAATAATTCAATATTTACGCAAAATATGTTAATTGAAATTAAAAATGATTGACTTTAATTGAAACATTAAAAAACCTTTCAGCAATATGAATTTTTGAAAATAATAAATCCATATCTACATATTTTATCTATTAATTCACTTTGATTGATTACACTTTGCATTTTTTTCTATTTGTTGCTCTTATTTAACATCAGATATTTTTTTTGACGTTGCCAGACTAATTAAACTGTGGCATTTACTTAAATCAAGTTAGGCTGCGTCGAGCCATGAAAAAGTTGCATCAAAGCTTTTGCAACTGATGCGCATTAAGCTGTTTCATAGCGGTAAATTTAAGCTGAAACAAGAAGAAAAAACAAACGAGCGTTAAAACTGAAGGTAAAAAGCGCTGCTAGAGTGGGTGGATAAAAGACAAAGAAAGATAGAGAGAGTCTGAGAGAGAGAGAGAGTAGGAGAGCAGAGACAGAGGCAGAGGCCGGCTGCCTGTGTGCATTTTAATGAAATGGCAACTGATTTAAAGCGCTGCCCCAAAAACCAGTGAACTGTGTGCGTGTGCCTCTCCATGAGTGTAGTGTGTGTGTGTGTGTGTGTGTGTGTGTGGGTGTGGGTGTGGGGCAACAGGTCTGAGTTGCATTTTCATAGCATACTTTTCAGCGCAGCCAAAATGCGTTATGCATGAGCACTTGCAACTGCAGCCGACCAGCGTCTGACACAGTTAGGCATCAAATTATGACAGAAGGCACACCCGACCCCGCCACGACCACGGCCACGCCCACGCCCACTGCCACCCGCAGTCTGCCTGGCAGCACCAACTATAAAGGTGCTGCAGCTACATTTAATGACTTCTGCCTCTCGCGCGGCCCGTGCGCCGTCTCGCTTGCTCTTTAATTTGCGCCGCATTCAGTTCAAAGCAACGTCGAAATTTATGCAATTAATGTGCCGCAATGCATTTCCCATGCACTTTGACACTTGCAACATTTTCCTCAATTTTGCCTCACTTTTTCCTT